TCTCCTTGAAATGAAAGAAAGAATGAAATGGACTGTTTTGCTTACAATTTCCGTGGAGAAATGAGGAAAAACTCATTTCTTCCTCATTTAAATAATCCTTTTAAGTAAGTTGGTTAAGAAATACATGAAAGATTTCAAGCTATTTTGAATTAGGGTGTCATTTCATCTATCTTACCCTACCTTTTCTCTTCAGTCTACCTCCCTACCTCCACCCTACACAATGAAGTACTCGATGTGGGTAAAGTGAAAAATGCAGAGAGTTTGTGTTCAAAAGGTTTTAGCCTCTTGCAGCATAAGACTTGACTCTACGTTCTTTAATTCTATAAATATTATTGAACACCATTTCATATATTTTTCCAGGTGCTGGGGATACAGTAGTAAGCAAGAGTTCTTGCTATTATGGTGCTTGCATTTTAGTCAGAGGAGAGACAGACAACAAAGAAGTAAACAAGTAAATATGGTGATATGTGCTTTGAAGAAAATGAAGCAGTATGCTATAATAGTGAATGTAGATATTTTAGATTGGCCAATTAAGGAATGCCTCTCTGAGGAGGTAGCATTTGAGTTGAGGCCTAGACCTGAACGGCAGCACATGTGAAAATCTAGGGGGAGCCTGGAACCTAGTAAGTGAATAAATGGTTGGCAGGCACTAGATCATGTAAGACCTTGTAATAAATAAGGATTTTAGATTTTATTCTGTGTGAAAAGGGAAACCACTAGAGAGCATTAATCAGGGGCACAGTGTGATCTTATTTATTACTAGCAGGGGAAAACTTGATAAAATGCAAAAGTTTAGCACTGGGAGAGAAAACTTGGATGTTTATTCACTAAGGAGCCTTGGGTAAGCCCTTTCACCCATGTGGACATGTTTTCTCATCTACAAAGATGAGGATGATAATATTTTCCTACCTTCCAGGGTTGTCAGGAATTTTACAACTGGAAAAAAATCCTAGAGAATATCTGAGCTAAATCCTCATAAGGAAACTGAGGGTCAGCCAGATTAAGCCGTTTGTTTGTCCTCAGATAGCAGGGACAGAGCGAGTGGTGGACTCCAGTATATTGTTTTTGTTTTGCTGTCCTGAATGCCCTACTGCATATCCGGCATTTCAAATGAAATTAAGAATGAATACAAAGGGATTGTGTAAGCCTTAAAGTACCATACAAATGTAAGGCATAATTGTTTTTAATTGTTTTCTGGATACTCTACCTGAGAGAACAAAGCTATCACAGGAGATAGAATTTTGGGGAAGGATGTGTTGCCAAACAAGTTGTACTGATTTTTCAAATGCTTCATCTAGAAGCTACGACAACCACGTGTCCTCAGTGGAAACTAGGATTGGAATGCAATCCAGGATTGGAATCCAATTTCAAATGAAATCCAAGAGAAAATATAAGTTATCTGATCATGGGAAATAGCACAAAAGACTTGTTCTGTCTCTTATGAACTGTATGTTTGTGTCTTTCCAAAATTCATATGTTGAAACCCTAATCCTCAGTGTGATGGCATTTGGATGTGGGGCCTTTGGAAAATAATTAGATCATGAGGGTGGGGCCCTCATGATGGGCTTAGTGCCCTTAGAAGAAGCGACCTGAGAGAGCTTGCCTCTCTCTGCTTTCTGCCTTGTGAAGATATGAGAAGACAGCCATATGCAAACCAGGAAGGAGGATCTTACCAGACACCAGATCTGCTGGCACCTTGATCTTGGACTTCCCAGTCTCCAGAACTGTGAGAGATAAATGTCCATTGTTTAAGTCACCCAGCCTATGGTAATGTGATATAGCACCGTGAACTGACCAAGACAACCTCCTTTAGTGTCTTTACTGGGAGTGCAAAGAGGCTTTATGCTTCTCTTGACTTTAGAAGAGAAACTCTTTATCCATTCCAGTGAAAGTCTCCAAGTAGGTAAAGGGAACTAGTCCAGAGATACCGTTAAGAGCACAGTTCTTGAATTCTTACTCTTTAGCACCCATCTTCCTGGAGTGGAATAAAAACAATGTCGTCAAAATGGAACATCTGATGGTATCATAATAATTATAGAGCATTGAAATTTCACTGCTTTTTTAGTAGTTCCTGGATAAAAGAGAGTATTTTATTCCAAAGGTATTTAATGAATTAAACTGTCATTAGAAAATATCGATATGTTTAAATGAACAAAAATGTATAACTTTGCAGCAAAATTAGGAAGTTTAAAAATATTTTTTCCTGAAACTTGAAGAAGAAAAATAATTGTCTTTGATTTTCAAAAACTTCTAAAGGAGGTTTTTCAGATAGCCTGAAGGTAATCCAGGCGTACTCTGCCACCTTGGGTCTCCCTTTTCTAGCAAAATGCCCAGGTTTTAGGATATCTGACCGTGGGTATAACGAGAAATAGACATCATTATGCATTCATCAGCCTGTTCTGGGGCACTATGAGGACTCTCCCCGATACACAGGCCCAACTTAGTAACTAATTCTGGGATCCAACATTATAATATTTGTTTAAGCTGTCATCCTGGCCTGCTTTATCAAAGGGAATGTACAGTCTTTTAGCTTGCTGAATGTGCCAATAAACATCCTAGAAGTCTCACAATTTCTTCAGGGCTAGTGTAAGTGCAGTTTAGAAAGAGAGCTGAGTTACAGAGGGATGGGTTATCACAGTGGAGGACATGCTGGGGCATTGGGTTCTGGTCCAAGGCCTACCACTAAATTACTGAGAAGTAGTGTGTCACTGCCCTTCTTTGAGCTTCTGTTCCTCCAAAGGATAGAAGTTTACAGAGACAGGAGAGAGATCGAAGCAAGTTCATTGAATTTGAGAATGTGATGCTCTGTGTGATGACCACTGCCAGATGAAATGGCAGATTACCTCAAAGCACCAGCACAGGAAGGAGGCTTAAAACAAATGATTAGTCAGGAAATATGTGATCACGGGAACAAGTTAGGGGCTTTTTTTTTTTAACATTTGTTAGATCAAGCTCTAACACAGAGAAAAGCAAACGAACCAAGCAACCAAGCAAAAACACTACAAAACAAGATTCCTGGGAACAAAAGGGAAGGAACAATTTGAGTGCTTTCTTATTAGTTTTCCATTTTCCTTCACAAGGTATTTGAGGTGATTCAGGGAATTGGATAAGAAGAAATAGAGTAAAGAGAAGATGCCAGGCAATTATCTCATTAATTATACTGTAGGGGAGGAAGACATTTCCTCTACCCGCTCTGGGTCCTTCTGACTGGACAACGAATTAAATTCACATAGGACAGAATAACAGGAGAAAATTAAACAAAGCTTTATAACATATATACATGGGAGAGGCTCAGGCAAACTGAGCAACTCAGCCAACTGGCCGAGGCTGCCTGTTTAAGTATCTTTACCTAAGAGACAAGGAGGAGATTTGGGGTAATGATTTGGGGCTTCAAAAGGGTACGAAGGCAAGCCACATGGAAATGGAAAAGCAAATGTTTGGTAAATAGAACTTTGATAAGAGTGGGCTTCGCAAGTGTCCTCCCAGTCTACCGGAACCCAAAGTTATCTATGGTGATGGCCTGCCCTGGAGACAGGCCTTTATTTTAAATTTGTTTTAGGCAGTTAGGGGGGAAAGGTCGAATGTTCTTGCTGAGTCTGAGCCTTTATTGTCTTCAGCTTGAAATAATCCGCATACCACAGTGGCGCATCTTGGGGCAGCATGCCCTGGACCCCATCAATACATACAGTATTTGTTGGACACACAGAGACATCAGTTATCAGTGCCCATGAATGCTACTTCACACATCTATACTTGCCCACCGCATATAACCCAGAGGATTTGGTATCTGTTAAAACACATATGAATACCTTTGAATATTCATTCATACTCTAAAACAGATAAAAACATTGAGCATTTTAGTTTATATGTAATGGTCTTCCATCTATTTTTTGCTTTTCAGACTTACAATTTTGTCCTTCCTGTTCACAAATAAACACAATACTTGTCAACATTAACATCACATCAAAACTTCAACATCACAGTGAAACTCTCTGTAACAAAAGCCGTTTTCAAATTCAAGGTGGTAGTTCATTTATTGAGAAATATATTCATTGCATTAACAGCAAATTCTACAACAAAATTAATCTTCTGGGATTTATCCTTTATGTTATTTCATTTGTAGAGGCAATATCCTTAGGAAATAAAACTCCTTCATTTGAATGTCAGACTCTACAGAGCAAAGAATCTTTTATCTCCGTTCTAGGAGTAGCATGGATATAACCAAGTTAACTTTACCTTAAGCTTGTTTCCTTAAGAACTGTTTTTTTTCCTTGTCATATGCAAGATTGACGAGGACTTGGAAAATGAGAGTTTAGTGGGAAAAAACCAAGTATGTTTCCACAGGCTTAATAATAATTTACATGTTTATGATAATGAGAAACCTGATTACTTCTGCAGCGGTATTTAACTTTTTTCTTTCAAAGTTATTGCTCCATCCAGTCAAGGAGGAAGTTGCAATGAAAGGTAGAGGTGTTATATTTATATTATCTGTCGTGTTCCAAGAATGCAGTTGTAGCCATAAAGTTCAATTCTAGGAAGTGTTCCACTCTGCAATCAACAAAGCTTTAGAATTGGAATTTAAAAGAGAGATTAGTTATTTGGAGTAAGTGGTTGTTTTAGTCAGCTCAGACTGCTCTAACAAAGTACCGTAGACTGGGTGGCTTATACCACAGACATTTCTGTCTTACAGTTCTGGAGGCTGGGAAGTCCAAGAGCTATATTAGCTTCTTATAAGGACACTAATCCCTTATTAGTGAGGGCTCCACCCTCATGACCTCATCTAAACCAGACTACCTCCTAAAGGCCCCACCTCTAAATACCATCGCATTGGGGGTTAGAACTTTAGCATACGAGTTTCAGGGGCACACAAACACGCATTCCATAATAATGGTGATGAGAGAGGGTGTAAAAGAATAATTGTTTGACCATGACACTGAGTCTTTTCTTTGATTTTCTGCATCTTGCTTACTTTTTTTCATCATCTTCGATCTTTCCCTTAGAACCTGCTCAAAAGTTTCCTCAATGAGAAATTTTACTGGATTGGTCTGAGGAACAATTCTGGCTGGAGGTGGGAAGATGGATCAACTCTAAACTTCTCAAGGTAAGGGGCTTCAAAGGAGTGCAAAAAAAAAAAAAAAAAACAGAGAGAGAGAGAAAAGGGAAATAAAAGTTATGTGGCTGGGGAAATATATAAAGGATAGCAGATGGAGCAGAGAGGAAAGGAAATTGGGAACAAAGAAGGAAATGAACAGTGGATAAGGGCAAAAAAACAAAAAAGGCATTTTACAGAGAGGCTAATTAGCAATTTTTATTGTTCTGTTGTTTTGGGAGCTGAGAGTAGTGGGGCCTGAATAGGGAGAAAGAATTTGCTCATTTTTTATTCCTTCATGCTTTATAATTCCTTTACTCTGCGTGTCACCTTAAGTGATTGATTTTTGTCTGATTTCTTACAGGATTCTTTCAAACAGCTTGGTACAGAAGTGTGGTGCCATCAGCGGAAATGGTCTCCAAGCCTCTAGCTGCGAAGCTCCTTTACATTGGGTCTGTAAGAAGGTCAGACTTTGACAGATGGTCAGATCTGTCATATGACTCCCTTAAAAGGGGGAGCTGGCCTCTGGGTGTTGGGATAGCCATGAGTATATATATATATATATAGTGAATGCTGAACCTTTGAGGATATGGCATTAGATGCAAGATTAAATGCAGCTTCCCCAGGGTTGATGGTTTATTGGTGGACTTTGAGAGTATTTAGATATTATCTTAACAATTTAAAAACCAGATCTAGGCAAATTTGTGAAATAGATAAAGTTTTTTTTAGTATTTTTCACTCTAGTGACTAATGCTGCTTCCTTCATCCTCACCCCCACCATCTCAGTCAAAAATATACCTTTTATATGCTATATTCTGAGCTGATCTAATGAAATCTGTGCAAATATATACTATTGCTAATGTAGCAGAGGGTTTTTATGTGCATTAATGGGTTGACATGTTACTTTTCTCTGATAATATATTTTTATCCTAACAGTGGCCCTTTGCAGATAAAGCATTATTCTAAAGAATAATGCTAATGGTGAGAAAATAAATTATGAAAGTAGATGAGAGCAGGGTGATGCTGTCTGGTCTTCAGCTCTTCACACTTACTTAAGACCTGGCCTTGACTGAATTTAGTTTTTCTGAATATGCGTAGATGTGGTTGAATGAAACAATGTGTGACTATATTTTTTCCATGTTGTGAACATGTGATTTGCATGTTGATTTTACAACAGTGGTCTCTTTGACAAGGCATTTTTGTAGAGGAAAATTTACGGAAGCAGTTTATGTGGTTGATTCTCAAATTATTTTAGGCACTAATGCCTCAAAAATGAGAAAAACTTATTATTTTTCTTTAGTAGGATTTGGACATAGATAAGGAGGGAAGATGTTGTTTAAACATATTGGAGGGAGTAATGAAAGGGACCATACTTCTTACTGTTGTTGACGCTGGATTGTAGTCTGTTTACTTGTCTTTCTCTTTCGTAGTTTTTAAGGACGTGGACTGTGTCTTATCCACCATTGTATCTCAGACACCTAAAATAGTGTTTGTATCAATGAATATTAAATAAATGAATGGATTAATAAAAAGTAAGAATTTAAAAATTCTTATTCCAATTGTTTCGTTACCCCACAAGTTAATTAAAGGAATTAAGGGCAAGAAACACAGTATATCCTAATCCTCCCTAATCCTACCCTTATGAGCATTCAGTGGCTGATGCTCAAAAGACAAAGGGCCAGCTTAATCTAGATAGAATGTTCATAGGAGAAAGTAGTGGAAACAAAATCCCATCTCCTTATGATCTCCTACCTTTGGTCCTGGGGCTGAGGGATGTCTCTTGGATGTGATGACGGTGACTCCCTTGATTAGGTTAAGGATGTTGTGATAGTGATTCCACTTGTGCCATGGCTTGGCTGCTCCAGGGTGTACAATCTCATTTACTTATTCAAAAAGAAACAAATGAGTACAGTAGTCTCCTAAATTCTCCCCTAACAGTCGGGATGTGTGCAGCTCTCCTGTGTCACTAGGATTCAGTCCTGTTGTAAGAATTTTCTCCACCTTTCATCAGAGTTGGGTCCAGTTCTTCACTGCTTTGTCCCCTTTAAGGACATTACATTAGAAATAGCTTATTTCCTTAGATTTATTTATTGGGGGCTAGGGTCGGTTATTGACTCAATTCATTTACCCTGCCTAGTGAAATAAAGTTTGGTAAAACTAGAAACCAAAATTTTTCTATCAGCACTTGCACTGCACAACTGATCCTTTTGGTGAACATTATGGACTAAAGTTATCTAGGACATGAAGTGTTTGGAATAGATGTTTATTAAAGATAATAAGAGTAGTAAAAAAATAGGAATGAACAAAATCCAGAGAGGGAAAAATCTCCATGGAGGTCACAGCTACATGATAGCTGAGGGCTTAGGAAAAGTAAAAATAATGAGATTGTTTATAATCCTTGTAATGTAGAAAAACTTGGATTCTTGTCCATTTTAGTTTTTGTTATTTTATTGTACTTTAATAAGTAATTTTTTGGACCTCGGGTACAGTGATTAGTCATACTCCTCAGTTCATGGGGCCACGTCTTCATCAGTCCGTATGTGCATCTCTCATGTTCTCTTACCTTCCTCTTATTCCTGTGTCCCCACTTCCATTCACCTTTCCTCCACAGGAGCATACTTTGATTGACATCGTCCTTGAGTTTGTTTGTATCCTTATAAAATATGTCGTTTTCTTCTTCATTTGTTTCATGTTTAATTAAGTGATTTTTTAAAATATGTCTTACCATTTTACTTTTTCCACTAGCGTTATGTTTTTCAGATCTTCCATGTTGTGCTACGTACATGTAATTCATCCTTTTAACTGCTGCATAGTCTCCATTTTATGTATCCATTCTCTTAATGACGGACACCTAGTTTGCCTTTGTTTCTCTGCTATCACAAACAATGACGGGATGAATATGCTGTTACACATCCCTATTCCAAAATCTTCCCCAACTCAGGAAGTGACCCTACCATCCACTCAGTTGTTCAGATTCCAGATGAAGAGCTTTCTGATTTCTTTTTTTTTTCACTCAATACAGTGAAACAAATTTTCTCATGTTTACCACCAAAGTATATTTTAAGTCTTACTACTTCTCTCCATCTCCACTTTTTTTATTATTTTTTATTGAGTCAACAATAGGTTGCAATCTTGTGAAATTTCAGTTGTACATTATTGTCTGTCAGTCGTGTTGTAGGTGCACCCCTTCACCCTTTCTGCCCAGCCCCACCCCACCTTTCCCCTGGTAGCCACTAATCTGTTCTCTTTGTCCACATGTTTAAATTCCTCATATGAGTGGAGTCATACAGAGATTGTCTGTCTCTATCTGGCTTATTTTACTAAACATAATTCCCTCAAGGTCCATCCATGTTGTTGCAAATGGGACGATTTTGTTCTTTTTTATGGCTGAGTAGTATTCCATTATATATATATACCACATCTTCTGTATCCAATCATCTATTGATGGGCACTTAGGTTGCTTCCATGTCTTGGCTATTGTAAATAATGCTGCAATGAACATTGTGGTGCATGGGACTTTTGGAATTGCTGACTGCAAGCTCTTTGGATAGATACCCAGTAGTGGGATAGCTGGATTGTATGGTAGTTCTATTTTTAATTTTTTGAGGAATCTCCATTCTGTTTTCCATAGTGGCTGCACCAGTTTGCATTCCCACCAGCAGTGTATGAAGGTTCCTTTTTCTCCACAACCTCCCCAATATTTGTTACTATTTGTTTTAGTTATTTTTGTCATTCTAATGGGTGTAAGGTGATATCTTAGTGTAGTTTTGATTTGCATTTCCCTGATGCACAGTGATGATGAACATCTTTTCATGTGCCTATTGGCCATCCGTATATCTTTTTTGGAGAAATGTCTGTTCATGTCTTCTGCCCATTTTTTTAATCAGGTTGTTTGATTTTTTTGTTGTTGAGTTGTGTGAGTTCTTTATATATTATGGATATTAAGCCTTTGTCAGATGTATTACTTGCAGATATTTTTTCCCAGTTAGTGGGTTGTTTTTTTGTTACAATCCTGTTTTTCTTTGCCTTGAAGAAGCTCTTTAGTCTGATGAAGTCCCATTTGTTTATTCTTTCTATTGTTTCCCTTGTCTGAGAAGACATGGTGTCCAAAAAGATCCTTTTAATACTGATGTCCAAGAGTGTACTGCCTACATTTTCTTCTAGAAGCCTTATGGTTTCAGGTCTCAGCTTTAGGTCTTTGATCCATTTTGAGTTTATTTTTGTGAATGGGGAAAAAGAATGGTCAACTTTCATTCTTTTACACGTGGCTTTCCAGTTTTCCCAGTGCCATTTGTTGAAAAGACTTTCTTTTCTCCATCGTATGCCCTCAGCTCCTCTGTTGAAGATTAGCTGTCCATAGATGTGTGGTTTTATTTCTGGGCTTTCAATTCTGTTCCATTGATCTGTGCACCTGTTTTTGTACCAGTACCATGCTGTTTTGATTACTGTAGGTTTGTAGTATGTTTTGAAGTCAGGGATTGTGATGCCTCCAGCTTTGCTCTTCTTTCTCAGGATTGCTTTAGCAATTCGGGGTCTTTTGTTGCCCCACATGAATTTTAGGATTCTTTGTTCTATTTCTGTAAAGAATGTCATTAGGATTCTGATTGGGATGGCGTTGAATCTGTAGATTGCTTTAGGTAGAATGGACATTTTAACTATGTTTATTCTTCCAATCCATGTACATGGAATGTCTTTCCATCTCTTTATGTCATCATCCATTTCTTTCAGAAAAGCCTAGTAATTTTCGTTGTATAGGTCTTTCACTTCCTTAGTTAAATTCAGCCCAAGGTATTTTATTCTTTCTGTTGCACTTGTGAATGGTATGTGTTCTTGAGTTCTTTTTCTGTTAGTTCGTTATTAGAGTATAGAAATGCTACTGATTTATGTAAATTGATTTTATACCCTGCAATTTTGCTGTAGTTGTTGATTACTTCTAAAATTTTTCCAATGGATTCTTTGGGGTTTTCCATATATAAGATCATGTCGTCTGCAAACAGCGAGAGTTTCACTTCTTCCCTCCCTATTTGATTCCTTTTATTCCTTTTTCTTGCCTAATTGTTCTGGCCAAAACCTCCAGTACTATGTTAAATAAGAGTGGTGATAGAGGGCATCCTTGTCTCATTCCTGTTTTCAGGGGCATGGCACTCAGTTTTTGCCCATTGAGTATGATGTTGGCTGTGGGTTTGTCATATATGGCCTTTATTATGTTGAGGTAGTTCCCTTCTAGCCCCATTTTGTTCAGAGTTTTTATCATAAATGGCTGTTGGATCTTGTCAAATGCTTTCTCTGCATCTATTGAGATGATCATGTGGTTTTTATTCCACAGTTTGTTGATGTGGTGTATCACGTTGGTTGATTTGTGGATGTTGAACCATCCCTGTGCCACTGGTATGAATCCCACTTGATCATGATGTATGATCCTTTTGATGAATTGTTGAATTCAGGTTGCCAAAATTTTGTTGAGAATTTTTGCATCTATCTTCATCAGCTATATTGGCCTGTAGTTCTCCTTTTTCATGCTGTCCTTGTCAGGCTTTGGTATCAGCATGATGTTGGCCTCGTAGAATGTGTTAGGAAGTGTTCCATCCTCCCTAATTTTTTGGAATAGCTTGAAAATGATAGGTATTAAATCCTCTCTGAAAGTTTGGTAGAATTCCCCAGGAAAGCCGTCTGGTCCAGGAGTTTTATTCTTTGGGATGCTTTTGATTGCTGTTTCAATCTCTTTCCTTGTGATTGGTCTGTTCAGTTTGTCTGCTTCTTCTTGACTAAGCTTTGGGAGATTGTAGGAGTCCAAGAATTTATCCATTTCCTCTAGGTTATCCATTTTGCTGGCATATAGTTTTTTGTAGTATTCTATTATAATCTGTTGTATTTCCACAGAGTCTCTTGTTATTGCTCCTCTTTCATTTCTGATTTTGTTTATTTGAGCTTTCTCTCTTTTTTTCTTTGTAAGTCTGGCTAGGGGTTTGTCAATTTTAGTTATGTTCTCAAAGAACAAGCCCATTGTTTCATTGATCCTTTCTACTGCCTTTTTTGTTTCAATAGCATTTATTTCTGCTCTGATTTTTATTGTTTCTCTCCTTCTGCTGACTTTGGGCTTTGTTTGTTCTTCTTTCTCTAATTCAGTTAGGTGTAGTTTAAGATTGCTTATTTGGGATTTTTCTTGTCTGTTAAGCTGTGCCTGTATTGTGATGAATTTTCCTCTCAATACAGCTTTTGCTGTATCCCGTATGAGTTGGTATGGCATGTTATCATTTTCCTTTGTTTCCAGGTATTTTTTGATTTCTTCCTTAATTTGTTCAATGATCCATTGCTTATTCAATAGCATATTGTTTAGTCTCCACATCCTTGTGCCTTTCTCAGCTCTTTTCTTGTAATTAATTTCTAGCTTTATAGCATTATGATCAGAGAAGATGCTTGTTATTATTTCAATTTTTTTTTTTAATTTGTAGAGGCTTGCCTTGTTTCCCAACATATGGTCTATCCTTGAGAATGTTCCATGTGCGCTTGAGAAGAATGTGTATTCTGCTGTTTTTGGATGGAGTGT